TTCCCCTTAAATAGAAGGAAAATATCCCCTTGCTGTGTGCAACAAAAGGTTTGAATTAGAATTTCATCAGAAATAGAGCAGAGCCATCAGCAGCAATGTCAAGCCCTCAAAAATATTATGTGGGACAATCTGACAACAAATCTGAAATTATGAAAGAGCCTTCTGAGAGTCAAGAAGAGAAGGTGTGGGAGAGAAACTCATGAACACACTGTTCTAGTGGACAGATCTATTTCAACAGTGCAGAAACTCAGAGGGAAGCAAAAGACCCCAGAATTCAGAGGAAAAAGCTTTAAAAATAAGGAAAAGTCTGCAAATATTGTGACATTCTTTGCTTCTTTGTCTGGAAGATGTTAAAGAAGAGTGAGAAAAGGTGAAGGGAGACTTTGCGACTGGACAGGTTGTCCTGATGGACCACAGGTTTCCTCATGCAGCTGCCATTAGGTGTGGCTCTGCTTGGCAACTTATATTGGCATTAAAAAGTTAAATAGCACTGGCAATGACCAGATTCTCTCAACCAACAGATTCTCTTGAAAATATCCAGGGCTGCCTGTTCCTACTGCCCAAGACTCAGAAGTCAGTTCTGCCCCATGGGAACCTCTCTGGTCTTTTGAGGCGGCTCTGAAGTGGTTGGACTCAGACAAGACTAAACAAGACAGCCGCTGAGCTGATGCTTCCACTCTTTGTTTGTGCCTGACACAGCACGAGTGTGATGCCTCCAGGGAGGCATCTTTGTGGTCTCCTGGATGAGAACTGTGCTCATCAAGAACAGATACAGGAATTGGAATTCTTCACCTGGAGAAGAGAAGGTTTTGGGGTGACCTAATTGTGACCTCCCAGTAGCTGAAGGGAACTGACTGGAAAGATGGAGAGGGATGGAATAGAAAGAGGGGAGAGATTTGGACAGGGGTCTGGAGCACCAGAGCAAGGGAGAATGCTTTTATTCATACTGACAGATGTTAGATGGGCTATGGGGAAGAAATTCTTTCCTGTGAGGGTGGTGTGACACTGGTGCAGGTTTCCCACAGGGGTTGTGGCTTCCCCATCCCTGGAAGTGTTCCAGGCCATGCTGGATGGGACTTGGAGCAAAATGGAATAGTGGAAGGTGTCACTGCCCATGGCAGGGGAGTTGGAATGAGGTGAGCTCTAGCAGTTTGAAGCCATCCCCCCTGTCACTCCAGGCCCTTGTCCAGGACCCCTCTCCATCTTTCCCTTCAGGTACTGGAAGGCCACAATCAGGTGCAAGATGCCCTGAGCATGCTGGATCAGGAGCAGAAGGATAAAGCTCCAAATCACACAGACAGTGTGAATGGTCTGGGGAGAGTCCTGGACAATGTGCCCTGCGAGATGCAGTTTCTAAGAGCTGCATTTGTACATTGACCCAGGAGATAAAATCCCAGAGTACAAACTCAGCCTGGTTTAGCACAGGACAGGCTCCAGGCAGGCAGGAGTAGCCCCAGTTTGCTCAGTGCTGAACCAGTTTGCTCCTGCTCTTCAGCTGAGAGGCTGGAAGGATGGAGTTGAGCCCCAGGCCCTGCTACAGGACCTGCCTGAGGGGCTGCACAGGATTCCATGGGAGGTTTGCCCATGGCTTGCTTCCCAGCCCTGGTTGCACTGAAACCAGGAAAACCATTCTGCAGCCTTGCAAGGCTCCCATTTGAACATTTGGGGCCCTGAAAATTATTTCCTTAAACACATTCCTTTTTTCAACCTGAAAAAATGCAGGGGATTTATTTTTGAAACATGATCTTTCATTTTGTCCTCAGGTCACTTACAGACTCAAAGGACTGTGGGTGCGGAGGAACCCACCGAGCCCGAGATCCTAGCTCTCCCCTGGAGGCAAGATACTAAGCTGTAAGAGAGACACAATGTATCGCTCCCAGGGGTCTTTGAGTTAGATATGTTAAATTGTTGTGCCCCATTGGTGTTCCCCCCTGCTGTCCCACCCCGATACAGGTATCTCGGGCTTCCCCCCGCCCCTCTCCTTCCCCATAAATACCCCGGGTTTTCCCCTGTTCGGCAGATTCGCTGTTGCTAGCTCCCTTCGCTGAAGCTCTGCCTGAATAAAGGTTTGTGCTTGGTGGAACGCTGGACCAGCTTTCTCGTCCCTGCTCCCTGTGTTGCCTGCCTGCCGCCGCCGAGCTGAGCTGAAATCACTCAACTGCTGCTGAGCCGAGCTGGAATCACTCAACTGCTTGAAGCTGCTCACACGCTTCGGCCCAGCCCTTCTCAGGGTTGTTTCTCTAGAGAAGTCGCGGTGCTCCGGGCTTTCCGTCGCCGCGGCAACGGACAACTTGTATTAGCCACCCACCTTGTGCTCATCTGATCCCAAATTTTCCTCTGCCTCATTTCTTCAGGCTGGCTCATGTGCTTGAATGGACACTGAACTCAGTGGGATTTTTCCTGCCATAAAAAGACAAATTGGAGTACAAAACAAGTCACCATGTGGTGACTTGTCCCACAGGAGGTGGGACCACATGGTATAAATACTGGAAAAACTGAAAATACTGGGAAAAAAATATTGAGCTGTGATAGAATGTTGTACCCAGGTGCAAGGTCACATGAGCCTGATGTGCCCATGTCCTGACTCCACGCTGAGGTGATCCTACCTGGAGCACTATGTCCAGCTCCAGAGTCCCCAGCACAAGGACATGGAGCTGTTGGAGCAAGTCCCAGACAAGGCTACCAAGATGATGAGAGGGATGGACCAGCTTTGTTATGAGGAAAGGCTGGGAGAATTGGGGTTGTTCAGCCTGGAGAAAAAAAGCTTCAGTGTGACCTTGCAGTACCTGAGAGGAGCCTACAGCAAAGATGGAGAGAGAATATTTAAAAGGGATGGAGTGACAGACAAGGGAGAATGGCTTCCCACTGCCTGAGGGCAGGGTTGGATGGGATATTGAGCAGAAATTCCTGTAAGAGTGGTAAGGCACAGGTTGCCAAGAGCAGCTGTGGCTGCCCTATCCCTGGAAGTATTCCAGGCCAGGCTGCATGGAGCTCAGAGCAATCTGGTCTACTGGAAAGTGTCTAATGGAAGGGGGCTTAAAAAGAGATAATCTTCAATGTCTCTTCCAACCCAAACCATGCTGGGATTCTATGTGTCAACTCCAAGGCCATGGGCCACATTGCTGGTGTGGAACCCATCCTGTGCCTGACCTTGCTGCCTCCCAGGCAGTGGGGGCTTGTAGTGTCAGAAGCTTTGGGGTAATGGAGGGACTCTTAGATGAGACACATTTGGGACATTTTGAAGTGATCCTTGGGGCCAGGCACCCAAGCTGGCAAACCTTGGGAATCCCCAGTGTGGCAAGCAGGCAGGGAACAGGAGGTCTGGTTTGTGACTCCCTCTTATTTTCTTCTCTTGCCTAAGGAGGTGATTGAGACACCATCTCTGGAGGTGTTCAAGAGGTATCTGGATGTGGCACTGGGTGATGTGTTTAGTTGTGTAGGGGTTACCATGGCAGTGCTGGGTTGATGGTTGGACTTGATCCTAAAAGTCTCTTCTAACCTTCATGCTTCTATTCTGTAATTGCAAAATGAGTGTGATTCCCATTCATGCCTTTATTCCTTACCAATGTATTTTTGCTCCCACTCTCTTTGCAATGCTAACTTCAGCTTGTAAGTTATGAAGAATAAGAGTCAGTTAGTGATAATGGCCTTAATAAAAACAAGTTTCCTTTCTTTCCTTTTCCCCCCTCATTTGGTATGTGCTTTAGCAACAGTGTTGATGACTGACTTGATGACCTTAAAGGCCTCTTCCAAGGCTGATAGTTCTATGATTCTGTGTGGGAAGTCCAAGGCTACATGCACTTTTTCTGCTGAAACTTTTCTTGTCACAAAAGTGCAAGGCCACTACCACGCTTGCGCTGAGGGCCTGAGCCAGCAGTGTGCCCTTATTGGCCAAGAAGGCAAACAATCCTGGTGTGCATCAGGAAGAGCATTCCTGGTGGTCAGAGAGGTGATCCTGCCCCTCTGCTCAGCCCTAGTGAGGTATATCTAGAGTGCTGTGTCCAGGTCTGGGCTCCTCAGGACAAGAGAGACTTGGAGCTCCTGGAGCAGGTCTAGTGGATGCCGTGCAGATGAGGAAGGGCATGAAGCAGCCCTCTCACAAGGAAAAGTTGAGGGATCTGCAGCTGTTTAGCCTCGAGAGGAGGCGCAGCTGAGAAGGGCCGTCATCCCTCTCTGTCCCTGTTTGCAGTGAGGGTTCAGAACAGGGACCAAGCTCTGCTCCCTGGGGCCCAGCAATGCCCAACCATAGGCAGAAATGGATGCCTAGGAAGATCCAGCTGAACATGATGAACTTCTTTCTTGTGCAATGACCGAGCACTGGAACAGAGACGAGAAAGGGTGTGGAGTCTTTCTCACCGGGGATACTTCAGACCTGCCTGGACACAATCCTGTGCCATGTGCTCTGGGATGACCAGGCTTGAGCAGGGAAGTGGGACCGAGTGACCCACTGTAGTCCCTTCCAACCTGCCCTGTTCTGTGTTTCTGTGACTGGGGCTCCCGCCAGCGCCATGGGCCTCTCGGCAAGCCGCCCCTCCGAGAGGGCCGAGAGGGGAAATGTGATAAAGACGGCTGTCGCTGTGCGGGTTCGCGCGGGTTAGGACGCGGATGCAGGTCCCGGGATGCGCCGAGGTTACCATGGGGACGCCCCACCGCCCCCTCGGTTGCCGTAGGGGCGGGGGAAGGGTTTGCCGGTGGCGCCGCCGGAAGTGCCGGTGGGGGCGGGGTCCGGCCCGGAAGCGCAGCCGGCGCGGCGGGAGGGCCTCGGCGCCTCAGCGGGGCGGGAGAGCGGCGAGCGGACGCTGCCGGTGCCGGAGCAGCGAAGCCGGGGCTGCCTGGGCCACCAAGAGGCCGGACCGGCGGGGCGCGGACTGTCCTGCCCGACTTGTGCGCAGAGCGGAGACACCCCGCCCCTTCCTCTCCCGCGGGCCCTGCACGGGAAGATGGCGGCGGCGGCGGGAGGTGGCGGCGGCGGTGGCGCGGGGGCGGCGGGCCGGCCCGGGCTGTGAGAGCCGCGGCGGGACGGCAGGTGAGCGGCGGAGGATGAGCCTGCTGTGCGCGCAGTATCTCCGGTGAGTATCTCCGGAGCGCGGCGAGCAGGCGAGGCCGCGGCCGGACGGTTCGGGGACGGCGGGGAACGGGCGGACTTCGAGCCCTAAGGCCTCGGAGCGGCAGTGAGGGCTGCTGGGCGGTGAGCGGGCCGTGCCCGGGGCGGTGTGGGGGACCCAGCCTCCGAGCTCCCGAGCCCTGCGGGCGGGTGGGCTTGGCTGCCGCATGGCTCAGGGCTCCCCAGCAAGGTCACGCCGGTACCTTGGAGCTTCGGGGAGGGTAGGAGAGTCCACCGTCTTCCCTGCCGGAATTCTGTATTGCTTCCCAAGGAAGTGGAAGGGTAACCCGCCGCTGCGGAGCGACCGCGAAGTTTGACGCCGGCTGTGGAGCGGGACCAGTGCTCGCAGCCCCGGGAGGTGCTCTGGGAGAACGGGAGTAGCAGGACTCGTGTTTCAGCCCTCGCCATCAGCTGGAAGTCCTCAGTCACGGCTGACACAGGCGGTCGGTGCTGGTGACGGTCAGCTGAGGGGTTGGGAGGGGAGTGAGGCTGCCAGGGCTGTGCTTTGAGACAGAACCATTCTCGCGTCCCTCAAGTCGAGAGCAGGAGATACCTCACATTGATACGAGCAGAACTTTGATAGGCTTTGGGGTGAACTTATACCCAAATGCTCGTTCTCTAGTGGTTTTGGAAAACAGCGTCTACAAATGGCTTTTCAGTAGCTGTAAAGTACTAAACGTCCAGGTTAATTGTGTTGTGTCACCCCTGACTCTTTGAGAACACCTCATGGAAAAGAAGTAGGTATGCAAAAAGGGCATGCACATTCTTTCTGAGGAGTTCATGGCTTGGGAAGGATTTAGAAGGAGTGAATTTAATGAGGATTTTACATTTTGAAAGCACTTTCTATACAAAGTTCTGAAACACTTCATTGGTCTCTCCTTGCTGTTTCTCCAAATTCCTCCCTTCTTCCTTGTCTTGTCATTTATTTCTGCTTCCTTGTATTATCCCAGATCTTACCTCAAGTTTATATCTTCAAAAAAGAAAAAAAAAGTAATCTTTTTATCTAATAGTGAGTTTATGAGCCTTTTTCTCTTCCAGGTGAGTAGACCTATGCTGTCATAAAACTTCATTCTTTCTTTCCTCTTATATTATGACAGATGCTTAAATGCTTTTTTATCAGCAATCTTCTACCAGTAAAAGACTTGCTTTTTTATTCTACGATGCGTCTTTATAATCTTGTAACCTCTGGCTCCCTGTTCCTTTTTGTGACTGCACATGTCCTTTGACTGCTTTGGATTGTGGGATGCTGTACCATTGAAGTCACACATGTCCCTGCTTCTGTAACCCTCCTGCACCACCAGGCTCTTCATTAAGCATTTTGCTGTGCCAGGCTGGAAATCCTGCCTGCAATCTGTGGACAGGAATCACCTGTTTCTCCTCTCTTTGTTCCTCCCACACTTCAGCTCATCCTGGGTTGTTCTTGCATTTTCCTGACTGCTTTGTTTATATCGTGCTAAAGGAACTGGACTGAAGCGTGCCTGTGTAACAGGCAGTGTCTCTGTCACCAAGAATCTTCTCGTCCTAAAACAACAGGACAGTCCTCCTAAACTTTTTAAGCTCTCTGTAGTCCATCATCTTCTTTCTGCCTCTAAAGACCATTTAGGTTTGTTCTCTGTGTAGAAGGTATGGATGGGAGAGGTTTGCTTGAAAAGCTGTGAAATGCTTTTTGCAGCCACAGAACATACATTTAAATTGATTTGCATAGGGCAGAAATGCAGCTGCAAGTTACTGCAGCCCAAGCTCATAAAGGGAACTGGGAATAAAACCTTAAGACTCTCAGAGCCAGTTCTGTTAGTCCTCTGTCTTAAGTAATAGGACATCCTCCTTTTTACTGTGGCAGGACAGGTTCAATCCAACTAAAATGAAGAAGGAATAGACCAAAGTGTAACAAGGTGAGAGGGCAGCTTAATAAAACATTGTACCAAATGAAGACATGAGACAATTAGTCTCTGCTGTTCTTCATTGTATTAACACTAAGGATGGATAGAAAATTTCTGCAAGAAATCATTTTTCTGGATATTTGAATTTTAGACAGAAGTGAGACAGATTTCTAAGGTGAACATGTAATGGTTGAATATCTAGTGAAATAATGACTCTGCAAGATTGAGCTACTGAAAAGATGAGCAGGGAAGAAGGGACTTTTACCTGAACTTCCTTAACTCTTTTACTTCTAGGTTCTTGCTTTCTGTATGTGTGTGAATAAGCTATTTTAAAATGCTGTCCTTGAAGAACTGTGCCCCTTTAATCAACCTGTGAGAACGGAGGAACACATGAGCCTCCTACAGAAGTCTTCCAGGAAGAGCAAATAAGGTCAGGCTTCATGTACTGAGTCTTTGAAAAGTTGCAGGAGAGTCTGTTTTTAAGTCATCTTTCTATGTTGCAATAGATTTTGGGGATTTTTGCTTTCCCAGTCTTATCCTTTTCAAAGTCACCTGTCAAGAGTATTGGAGTGTATTCTTTCCCATCTAATTTCCTACATTTCTCTCTGGAATCATTGTTTGAGTCACTTCTCAAAGATTTGCACTGCATCTGGTAAGGTGAGTAGACTTTTCAGAGGGTTCTTTTGGGAGATAAGATCCTAAATGATATTTTAAGAAATGGGCACTGTTAAGTCTCCCTGTTCAGGTGAATCTGTTCATTGTGTCTGTCTGAAAATTTGTATCCATGCTATTTGTGCTACTTGGGGAATCTACAAGTACTCCCCATAAATCAAATTAATCTCACAAGCCACTTGTCTTGAAAGTAGGCATTTCATGTATCCTGCTAGATATAAAGAAGTCACTTTAAAGCAAACTGTCACTGATAGGATTTCTGACACAATAGCACAGAAACTTCAGAGCACATCCATTTTATAAGCCAGTGTTGAGCTTTAGTCCATATTTGTTCACTTCAGAGAAATTATCTTAAATGCCAATCTTATATGTGTTCAAAATGGAGTTAACTAGGATTCAGAAGTTTAGCAGTTTGACCTATGACTGTCTCAATTGCATTTCAAAAACATGTGAGCTCAGTTACCAGTTAAATGTGACATTCTCTGGTAAACTGTGGCTTTTAGCACAAGCACAAATGTAGAATAAAAAGTGCTTGAATTACAGGGCTTGAACATTGCTTAGAAATTCCAGTGCTGATGAACCAGTAGGTAGTTTTCTATAGCCTTATGATGCGGCTATAACCAACTTTATTAAAGGTTTGGCTGCTTTAATAATTCAAATTGTGGGTGTCTTTTCAAAGACTCATCAGTAGCTCCATTAACTTCTGCCTCTGCTGTGTCTCTTCATTGTTGCTCCTTTGCTGTCTGCTGGCCTGTGACGTATCTGTTGCAGTGTTTCTTCACTGTTAAACGGAGGAGGGTAGAGCAGAGGTAATTGCAGTCTGTGTGTGAGCATGTTCTGGTACTGATTCCTAGTCAGGATGATGTAGAGGTGATGCTTGTCTGTGCTGGCAAGACAGCAACCAGAATACTGTTTGAATGAGTCTCAGCAAGACTAAGTTAGTTATTTTAATTATCTTGAGAGTATATGAAGGAAAAAGTTTGTAAATGTAACCTCTTAATAGAGAAGCCTGTGTCCCTGCAGTGGGCTTCCTGGAGATGGCAAGATCACAAGGCTGGAGGAGAGGCCTCAGGAGTCTCCTGTCCAGTGTCCTGCTCACAGCAGGGTCAACTCTGGGGTCAGACCAAGTGCCCAGGGCTTGAAAGCCTCCAGGGATGGAGACATCTCAGCCTTTTGGGGCAGTTTGAATGTCTTCGTGGTGGAAAAGATTTTCTGTACATCCAGTTGGAACCTCTCCTGTTTTAACTTAATGCCTGTTGTCTCTTGTCCTCCCACCACATGGAGAACCTGGATCCATCTTCTCAATCCCTTCCCTGGAAGCATGTGGCAGCAGTGAGTGCCCTGGAGCCTTCCTTACCTCAGGCTGACCTAGCCTGTCTCCCACAGCCTCTTTTCCAGTCCTAAATGCAAGTGCTCCAGCCCTGACTGCTCTGGAGGCCTTGCTCCAGTTGTTTCACAGCTTTCTTGATTTGTCTTGGTATCTGAACAAGACCGAGTCAGTCTTGAAAAGTACTCTGTCCAGCTTTTTGTTTTCTGATATGCTTAATGCTACTTTCATACAGTGTTTACTCTTGAATTTTAAACGGAAAATGTAGTGGGGCCTGCTTTGGCCTTCCAGGAGAGACACCTCAAAACATCACCTGATGTTTTCTTTGGGGGAGCATAGTGTCTCCCTTCTAGTTTTGTCTTTTTTTTTTCCCTCTATACAAGATGTTTCCACCATTTGATAACTAGAATTTCTGCCAATATTTAATATGAGCAACACTTCTTATTCTTCATTGCGGGTAAGAGTAATGATTTAAAAAGGCAAAGATTGATGATGGCTACTATTTACTTAGGATCAGCAAGCTTTTTGTGGTGACCTATGAAGTAAAAAGAATCACAATAAAAAATGTATTGAGCAATTCCCCACTGAGCTTTCTGCTGAAGGAAGTGCGTCTTGCTGAGAGCCCCAAGACACATACCGTACTCCTCAGGTGTCTGGTCAGCAATTTCTTGTTCCTGTTTTCCTATCATGGGCTTCCAAATTATTGAGCATCCTCCTGTCACTCCGGGACAACTTGTGCTAAAGTCACTGTCAAACCTGTGATACTTTTTGTTTTTCAAACCTAGATTCCCAAGGAAATAAGGCTTGTTCAAGTGTGCTGAAATTGGTTGCTGCCATTATAACTTAGTGAAAGTTGTCTGGTTGGGTGATCATGTTTGGGTGATCCAAATGAGTGCGCTGGTGAGAGAGAAGCAGGCAGAGCCCAACTGGGGTAAAGCAGCACTTTGTTTCTGTGCTGGGGTTTGAGCATGCTCCTCTGTAGGGAGGTAACAGCAGGGATGGGAGTGCCTGTGAAGGTTAGCAGATGCTGGGCATATTTTCCTTCTGGAAGGACTGGCAGGACTGGCAAGAGGAGCAGAGAAGAGG